GTGGGTGGTGCCGAGCCAGTTGTGTGCCACCACCTGGAGATGCCCAGCAATCGCTGACTGATGACGCCCAACCGGTTTCAAAGATCCATTTTCAATCATTTTTGCATGAAAGGGTTTTTTCAAGGAAAAAACGTTTGACACATCGACAATACACAAAATACAAGAATCCCGCACAATAATAGTACAGATAAAGAGGGCACCAGCCCTGGACAAGCTACAAGACAAGACAGGAAATCTTGAAAACGACCTCCTTGGAGCATAGATTTTACTCCGGGACTTGTTCTGTTGCTCCTGCTTGGGCTGATATATGTCATCCACACCTTGGCAGCTGCTATACCAGGCAATGTGGTGTTTGGGACTCCTCCCGTTTGTGCTAGGTATTCTATTGTACACCTATTAAGGATTCCTCCTCCAAAACAAATCTAAGGCCTTCAGTGTGGCTCAGCCATTAAAAGGCGCTTGCTCGAGCCCAAAGTGAGCAATATCAGCCAGGTGCTGCAGGTTTGAGCTGTTGTCAGAATTCAGCAGCTGTGAAGTTGGATTGTTGACCCAGTAACAGGAAAGTGAGCTGGGTTTAGACGGGTTAGTTTTGGCCTGCAGGTGATGTGTTGCCACAGCAGGGATCCTGCTCAGTATGAGAAGCACTGCAGGTTCAGAGTTCAGACCCTGGGTGTCTGTGCTTGGCTGAGGAGCCCAGGGTGCAAAGCTGCAATCGGTGGGATTATCCCTGCATGCCTCTCAGGCAGAATCCCCTCTAAAAGGGGGGGTGGGAGGTGTGGCCTGACAGGTGGGGGAGAGTGCCGGAGAAGATTGTCCACTTGTCTGTCTCTGCAGGACGGGGCCGAGAGTCTTAATAAAAAAGACCATGACAGACATAACCCACTCCAAGGCCCTTTGTCTCTAGTGCCCATAGAGCCCAGGATAGCCCAGCCCAGGAGGAGGAGAGAAACAAAAAACGAAAGTCATGCCAAGGGAGAGACCATGGATACGCAACAGAGCCTCCTGGGAACATGCCGTTCAACCCCTTGGCACTGCTTGAACAGGGAGAGATGCCAGCACAGTTCCAAGTCGACTTGGGAGCAATCCCCAGATCTGTGTAGGGAGGTCATCTCTCACGCAAGTTAATAAGCCTCTGACTAAAAAACTGCCTTTTGACACACTTTTCTGTTTTGCTCAAGTTAGAAGCCACAGCTGAACTCTATTTGAGCAAACTTCTGCGGTTCGCTCTATTTTATCCCCTTAAGAAATTTGAAAACCTCCACCCAATCTCTCAGACTCCCCTTAGATCACAAGAGGTGGCACCTGTGCACCCAAATATCTCAAATGGAAAAGAAAAACGCTAGGTTACATGTTTCTAATGCAGAACCTGTACAAATCTGGTCAGACACCTTTGCTTTGTTAAAACCATGGCCAGCTATCCCAGTTTTCGAATTATTAACATGGGAGAGATCCCGGGATCTGGATTTGTTTCTGCATGTGGAAAAAACATGGGAAAGACGGAGTGTTGTCCTCGCGAGTGGTGTGCTCAGGGCAGTGGATAGTCCTGGAAGGTGTTTAAAGAGACAGACAGGCAGCCTGCGTCATGAAGCGTGATCTGATCCGTAGGGCAGTGCGATCCGAAGGGAATCCTGTGTGGACCTGGTGAGCTGCAGAGTGCTGGGGCACAGTGATCCCGGGCTGAGCTGAGTGGCTCTGG